CGTCCAAAGTATAGTGACACTCCCTAGGTAATGAGATCTCCATACCATTCTCTAGGTAGAATCTCCCATCGGGAATTACTAATAGACATCTGTGTTGTGGAGAAAGAAAGCGAATCTTTTGAAAAGAGACATAAAGGCATTTGCTGTTTTGAGCCGCCCTGCTTTTACTATTACAATACAACAACAAGTATCGCAATAAGTTTGAACTTTCCGTACAGGACAAAGATACTTACATCGACTTTGAACTTTATATTAGCAGGCATCCTACATACATACAGCACGTTTGAACTTTCTCATAACAAAGATATTTCTACAAGTTAACCTTCAAAGGTAGGTTTCTCTTTTGATATTTCCAGAGATGCTTTTAGGAATTCAGTTGTATATTTTCTACAACAATTTCATCCCTTGATGTTGACAAGTTCACTGACACAGAGCCTGACAGATGATTAAATCCATGATGGAATCCTACAAATCTTCCATTAGAAAGGTTTTCAGTATCATCTTTAACTGGAAGATTTACCCAGGCATAGTGAGTCTATCTCATACTCCCCAACTCGGATTTACTTAAACCTAGTATACTATTACCAACAACATGTACTCACTTACCTCCATCTAGATCCGAAGCGCTAAACCTTCGGAATCAAGAGTCGACAGCGTAGCTCATGCAACACTCCATAAAGATGACTCCATCGAAAATGAATACATCATGTCAGCAGAGTATCTCCAGCAAGAAGCATACCATGGTTCATCCATGAGCTATCAAGTTGCACAAATTCTCCTTTGGGTAATTTGGTTTCCTTTACGTCTCACTACTTTATTGCTCCAAATCTCGATTCCTACTAATACACCCTCTAGTCCTTCATCGCCATTCTGATTGCTCCTATTCTCGTTATAGTCAACATACTTTTTCAATTTCGCGACTCCAAGTACTCCTGGGCTGCGATTACTGGCTGTGTATTCTTCATCACATCACTCATCTTCTACTTTCTTCGCACCAGCAAGGAACTTGACGAGAGCTATTCCGCGCAATGGGGAATGAAGACTAGGGACACCGCACAAGAGGTTCAAAATCGGATATATGCCAAGGATCGAAATGCGTAGCTCTCTCTTTCCCAACTGCCAATATGGAATCATACGCTAACACTGGTACTGCAGAAAATTTCGCACCACTCATCTCGCTGATATGCACGGTCTCCAGACTATCCCTGAGAATCAATCTCCTAGAAGCTTGGGCAATATGCGACATCAGATGAACGAGAAATTTGTCGCGGCAATGAAAGATATGACTTCTGAGACGAGAGTTAAGCTTAACATTTATGTATGTATATAGTCCCAGCCTTGCTGTCACATTCCTGCCTTCTCCAATCTCTTTCTCCCTTTCATCCTTCTTCTTAGTCCCTGCATCTCTCGATCAAAGAAATCCTAGACTAACATATACCCTAGCTCATAATATCCGGAGCCCTATCGATAATCCCTTATTGCGCCGCACAACACTACTACAACAATCCAACTTCTTTCTCCGAGGCAACAAATCATTTGGTGTTACTTAGCAAAGCTCTCGTGGTCATCATCATGTATACAACTGTATTGTACCAAACCAAATTCTGGATTGAAGAGTTGGAGCGAGAGAGAAGTTGCATTATGAGAGGATGGGATATTGTAAATTGAAGAATGAATGGGAGAGAAAGAGGTGTTGATGATGTCAATTTTTCTGGTTGTTGGGGAAAGGGGAGGGATTGGATAGGGTTGCTGCAACTGCAGGCCGGACCTGCTTCTACAGTTTGTGGGATGATTTTCTGCACGAGAAGTGTTTGAAAGTGATGGATGGAGATGAATAGGGCACGAGAAGTGTTTGAAAGTGATGGATGGAGATGAATAGAGCACTGGCAAAATATCTTACTAAGATCTAGGATGGATGGATATTCGATTTGATACTTTCTCTTGAACTGCAGTACCGAAGCAAGAAATCTTCTAGATTAGATGCTGACAACAACAAATATATTTTAACATATTTTGATTTTACTTGACGTTACAAGAACAATTTTATTTATATAAAACGATTTCAATGATGCAAACTACATCTGAGGAGTCTTTCTTGTGGATCTGGGAGAGAACGATCCGCAGCATGGTAACTAGTATGCTGTGGTGCTGGCACATATTTACTACTCAACCCACACATTGGGTTCTGACCAGGAAAGAATCCGAGATCAACTTGAAGAGATGCTTGATGCAGATATCAGGTACATAGCTATATGTCTACCGCACAACTTGAGAACGAAGGCTACCTACGAACCTACCACAGAACTAAAGTCCAACGTTACTCAACCATACACTCGATGGACAGCAAAGGACTATCGCTAAAATCAATATTCCATACCTACATCCATTGTCCCTCCAATTTCCCTCTCAAGTCTCTACGTCAAGAATCTTCCAATCAAATTAAATAATAGTTTTCTCTCCTCAGAGTCTCAATATGTCGTTCGTTCACCACAACCACAAGAAACATACAATATAAGCACAGACCATCCCCGACCTCCAAACCTCGGCTCGGCTCACACGTCCATCAAGCTTCCCCAGATTTTCGGAAATGCTTCTTCCTACGCGCATCTCCCCGCACGTGCAAGCTTCCTATCCGCGACCCCTTTATCTTGATTTCTAATCGTGGCTCTATTCATGCTTCTCGAGTTTCAATGTCTATAACACAGTTCTGTCATACCTCTTGCTTTACTTTTCCAATTCCAGTTCCAGTTCCATTGGTATCTAGAAGTATATACAAAGTCATCACTCCATCAGCATTTCAATTCTCCATCTTCAGAACGTTGACAGTGAGAAGATCACAATCACGTTATAGATTATTCCACACCACGAGAATCACTACATTTCCACAAAGTCTCGGAACATTCTCCAGAATAGGGAGAAGACCGCGAAATATGACATCACCCGGCTCTCGATCTCCGAAGTCTGATTTGGAAAAACAATATACTTCATCTACTAGTAGTTCTAAAGTAGATAGGAAAGCCAAGAAAGAGATTGCTGTTCCACGGCCTAGTTCGAGGTGTGTGATATGTCTTTACCATTTCCACTTTCTTCTATTCTTATCTCATTCTCATACAATACCCTCACGTGCCTTCACTCCAACTAACACCCCCACAGTATCCTCCTCATCTCCCCCCAAAACCAAATTCTCCTCCTCCATCGTATCCGCACCTCCTCTTCCTTCCCCTCCGCCCACGTCTTCCCAGGTGGAAACCTCGATCCCTACCACGAATCACCCATCCCCTCTCCCTCCTCTCCTTCCCGTCATGTAAATTCCGAGATATACCGTCTTGGCGCTATCCGGGAATGTTTCGAAGAGAGTGGAATTCTCCTCGCTCTCCCTTCCCCATCCCCTTCCCCTCAAAACCCCGAGCAAAAAATCTCCCAAAAGAAAACCCTCTACATCAACGAAAAAGAAATCTCGCGCGCAAGAAAGGAAATCCATTCCAGGAATATCAATTTCTCAACCTGGCTAGCCCAACAAGGAGGAATCCCCGATATCGATTCTCTCCATCCATTCACCCGGTGGATCACCCCTTCCAATCTCCCAAAACGTTTCACCACACAGATGTACATCTATTTTCTCCCGTTATCTTCATCCTCGACGGAAGTAGAAAATGAGAGTATTCCCACAAACCAAGGAACAGAAAAGGAAAAAGAAAAAGAAGAAGAAACCCACACAACCCCCACCCATGACGGCGGCATCGAACACACTGCCGCCGAATTCGCCTACTGTTCTACATGGCTGGAGAAAGCGCGAAAGGGAGAAATTATTCTCTTCCCCCCACAATTCTATCTCATGGAATTACTTTCTCAATTTTTGCTTCCCGCAGGAACAGATGCCAATTCCACATTCTCCATAGACGAACTCTCCGCGCAAAGAAGCCAAGTCTTGCAATTCCTGCAAGGAGACGGAGGCGATGGGTCGGGAATTTTCTGGGGCGAGAAAGTCATGAGTCCGCTTTCGTTGGGGGTCAAGAGGAAAAATGGGGATGGGAGGGTGATATTGGGATTGGATGGACAGGGTCCGGAACTGGAGGGGAGGGGGAGGAAAGGAGATGGGAAGAGAGTTGTGCTTGTGAGGTTTGGGAAGGAGGGGCCTAGGGAGGTGGAGGTTAGAGAGAGGAGGGAGGTTTTGGAGGAGGAGAGGGGGGATGGAGAGAATGGGGCGAAGTTGTGAGGGGTGATATATATATATATATACATATACACACTTATACACAAATACACACATATATATAATACCGTGATTACAATATGGATGGCTCCAGAGTATCCAACAATCCAACCTACAATCCAACAATAAAGATCATCATATCACATCACATCATATCCCATCTCCAACCCAATCACAACACTCAAAATTCAACACTCAAAATTCAAAATTCAAAATTCAACATACAGCACAAATCACATAAAATATAGCATTAACATTAACACTACGATCATTTCTAATTCAACAAAAACAGTAAACCCCCTACCTCCATACCTACCTACCTCCCTCCCTCCCTACCTCCCTCCCTACCTCCCTCCCTACCTCCCTCCCTACCTACTATCTAACTCATAAGTATCTAAATATCTACAGATTTCATATCCAACAACTCTCCCCCATTCCGACTTCAACCCTCATACTTCGAGTATCTTATACTACGAGTATCTTATATTCCAAATATCTTATATTCCGAATATCTCATACTACAAGTATCTCATACTACAAATATCTTATACTACAAATATCTCATATTACAATACGAGTATCTCATAACCTTACTACAAGTACCTATCCAACTACAATCCAATCCAATCCAATTCTGACTATTACATACCCCGAAATCCCGAAATCCCGAAATCTTGAAATTTTGAATTAACAATAACTGATAATCATTCTATTATACCATAAGATGTGAATTTTACGAATAATATCTAACCTTACCTTACCTAGTATCTCAAAAAACAATAATCACACTTACGATTTAACAACTGTACTATTTCATTAAGAAAAAAAAAAAAAACAGCTATGAATAGATATAGATGTCATGCATCCACCATGTCATTACTGTATAACGCATGTGATTCATAATCATTCTCTCATTCTCTCATACTCATTTAATTCATGGTTGAAAGAATATCCCTTCCATTCCATTCCACTCCATACCTATAACGCCAGCATGATTATTTTCCAGTACACACTATCATCCTCGTGAAGATCCGCGCGCAGATCTCATCGTCCCATTGCATTTTCCATACCAATTCCATTTCTCCCCATCCATCCCATCCCCTTCCATCCCCTTCCCATCTCAACCCCACCCCATCAAAGCTCCTCCTCCTCGCCCCCCGCCAACGTCCTCTCATCCGCATCCTCATCCCCCTCATCATAAATCTCATAACTCGGCCACGCCACCTCAAACTCTCCATCCTCCTCCTCCTCCTCCCCATCCTCTCTCAAAAACCGAAACGCCAACACCCCTCCCTCCTTCACCCCCACACTCTCCGGCGTATCTCCCAATCCCAACTGCAACTCCGTCCATCCAGCTTTGAGATCATGCACATCGAGCGGAACGGCCAGGGCGATATTTTTGACCGAGTCCGGGAGGGGAATTTTGCGCTCCGTGAGAGTGGTGGTGGTGGATGAGAGAGTGGTGGTGGATTTTCCTGCGGGGTTGCCGGGGGAAGGGAGAGGGGAGAGACCATCTGGGTAGCGTTCCTGCAGGGTGGAGAGTAGGAGAGTGAGGATTTGTGGGAAGGTTTGGGTGGGTGCGACGAGGAGGAGAATGGTGTGGACGGTGTGTTTGAGGAAGAGGGTGAGGTTTGTGTCGCTGGGTGGGTCGAAGGTGCTGAGTTTGCGTTTGGGTGGCTGGTGGGAGAGAGGGGAGAGTTAGTTTTGGAGATGAGGTGTAGAGGGGAGGGAGGGGAGAGGAGGGGAGAAGTTAGCTTACCATTTTGAGGGTTGGTTTGTTGGGTTTTGTTGAGTTGTATATATGGATTGAATTGAATTGAATTGAATTCGAATCAGACTGAAAAGGTGTGTGATGATTTATTATTGATTGAACAATATAATGCCCAGGACCGTTTGAGGTATTTGTGGTGATTTTAGTTTCCGATTGAAATTTATTTCTTTGTAAGAGATGGATGGACAGAAGAGAGAAGATAGATGATAAGTACCAGTAGGCGGATTGAGAATAGACAGGCATCAGCTTCAAATTATTAAATGTCTTTTGCGACGCGATAAGCTTTATCAAATTCGCGAAAGCAGCTGATCTTTAAAAAAAGTGATTTCTCCATTCTCCAGCCTTGTATTCTTACGATTTGATATAATATACTACAATACAATACAATACAACCTCACTGATCTATTGGCACGGCATTTTACTTCAATCTTCAGTTCGTTATATCAAACAGTCGATCAGTCAAGCAGTCAATCAGCCAATCAGTCAATCAGTCAATCAGTCAGTCAGTCAGTCAATCAATCAGTCAATCAATTAATCAGTTAAGCAATCAATCAATCAATCAGTCAATCAGTTAATCAGTCAATCAGTCAATCAGTCAATCAGTCAATCAGTCAATCAGTCAATCAGTCAATCAGTCAATCAGTCAATCAGTCAATCAGTCAAGCAATCAACCAACCAATTCCAAAACCATGGATTCCTCAACCCCCTCTCCCCCAACCACAGATCTCACCACCCCTCCCCCAACCCCCGAAGAACTTCTCGAAGCCCAAATGAAAGCCTGGCGCAAAGCTCACCACGAAGCCCTCGTCCTCGATTCCCGCATGTCCATACCCTACGGCGCACGCCTTCCCCTCTGCACATCGATATCTTTTCTCTGCGGCATGGCGCTGGGAGTCTCCCACGGTTCTCAAGCTGCATCGTTACGTTTCCGCGCCGAGAATGCGCATCGATTGCCGACGTCGCCGACGGGGTGGTACTTGTATCATAAGAGTAAGAACTATAATACGGGGCTTGGGGGGGTGAAAGAGGGGTTGAGGATGGGAGGGAGGATTGCGTTTTGGACGGCAGGGTTGTTGGCTATTGAGGATATGTGTGATCGGTGGAGGGGAAAGAAGGATGTGGTTAATACTGTGGTGGCTAGTTTGAGTGTTGCGGGAGGGTTTAGTTTATGGAGTGAGTTTTCTTTTCTTTTCTTTTGTTTATTTTTCTTTTTATTTGGGGGTTTGTATTTTAGGGGTTGTATTTGGTTTCTGGAGTTGTGCTTGTGCTTGTGATTGTGTGCGGGGGAGTTGTGATTTCAATATGAATCAATGGATTATTGCACCAATGGTATTTTTGATGCGTTGCCAATTTCTCCCTTAGTATGGGGGAGGGTTAGCAAACGTAAATGGGAGAAGGCAAAAGACGGATGATTGATGGGAGAAGGTTCAATATAATTGAGGAATGACCAATACTAACATAACCTCTCTTCCAGATCGATTCCCTATCATAACCGCCGCCAGAACCGCCAAAACAGGATTGGCATTTGGTATAGGATATGGATTATTACAAGATGCCGTTGGTTATGCAAGAGGTAGAAGATTGGGATATATAGATTTCTTAACCGGAGGAACGACAGGAAGAAGAGGAGGAGGAAAGGAAGAAGAAGAACTGAGACTGAGAGATGCCGAAAAGACCACAATATAAGAAGAAGAAAAGATGGATGATGATGATGATGATGATGATGATGATGATGATGAAAATAATAATAAATGGTAATTAAATGGTAATTATATCCACTTCATTATTCATTCCAGACTTTTCATCTCCATTCCTCTCTTCGATTCTCGGATCATGATTGAGGATAAAACATCTTCATCTCCAATATAAAGGTAATAGTTGAGTTATATCGGCGTCAATATTCGAATAGTTTTTGTTAGTTTACTCCATCATGTCCATATCACCGACATGATCAAAGCACCATCCATTCGGTTTCCATCGGTTGTAGAATTCCCACAACTCTTGGGAGCATTGAAAGAAAGTCCATTCAACCAATCATATGGATTGATTTCAAAGTGGATATCCTGATATACTCGCGATAAGCTTGGATCTCATGGTTGTCGACGGCATGTTGGTTTGGGGTTATCGATAAGCTTCATCATTTCCATTTCCATTTCCATGTCCCCTCCTCGTCTCTTTGCTGTGTTGTATATGTTTGATTATTGATTGTTGATACCGTACTTACCATTCACTCACACCTCCGATTTCGCTGCTTTGATTTCTTCTTCATTTTCCCCTGGAATTCTTTTGTATCTCCCAAGTTCTCTTTTCCTATTTAAATTCCTCATCGATCCTGATTTCCTTCTCTATTCTTCTTTCCCTTCATTCCTGTTTGTTTGTACATATCAGTCCTTCTCGCAGTCAGTCAGTATTCATTGCGCAACTTAGAGGAAACCGAACCACAGAAAGAGAAACATAAAGCCGTATTGATACCTTTGTTTGTCTATTTATCGACTTCAAAACTCCTTCACACTTTCCATCATGTCGAACTTAATATCTCGGAAAGCATTACTATGTTCTCGAAGACCATTCCTGATTGCACCTTCAAATTATAGAAGATTATCTTCTAGAACATCCCCTCTTCAATCTACTTATACTGGAAGTCCCACTTCAGCTTCTGCTGCTTCCGATGTTCTTCATCCAATACAATCCAATACGGATTCAACATCTAAATCAGCTACTATGCCAAAGATTAGTCCGCTGTCAATATTACCTCTGAGTAATGTTGTAAGATCTTTGGTTATCAATACTATTTCTTCTTCTCCTGTAAGTCTTATCTACTAGGTACCTTAAATATTCCCCCTTTAATTCTAGAGCGAAGCGAAAAAGCCCCCACGGCAGTGGCTCCCGGAGGGCCAGCGGAGCGTCATTTTGATTTAATCGTTTTGATTTAATCATTTTGATCTGTTTTATTAGTTTTTTCTTTACTACTTATGTTACACTTATATATCAAACTTTTACTAACCATTCCATCTCTTAACAATAGTTACTTCTCGCACCATCCCTCAAAATAATGACCATCCTCGCCCATTCTCAAAATCCCATCTTATCACCCGATCGCAATCCCGTTTTACGATTCTTCCTCAAAAATACCTTTTACAAACAATTTTGTGCTGGTGAAACCCACGCCGAAGTTCAAAAGACGGTTCGCGGAATTAAAGATCTTGGTTTCAAAGGTGTTTTTCTCTGTTATGCAAGAGAAGTTGAGAAATCGCCAGGTGCCAATATCGATGTGGAGAAGTGTGTCAAGAATGAAGTTTTACCTTGGGCTGAAGGTACTTTGGCGACTGTTCGATTAGCTGGTCCGGGAGATTTCGTTTCCATCAAGGTTACTGGAGCGGGAAGTTTAGCTCTACAAGCTTTGGAAGCAAAGGGAGTTTGTCATGATACACTCAAAAAGGCGATTGATGATATTTGTGCTCTGGGTGCAGAACGAGGTGTCAAATTAGCTTTTGATGCGGAACATGCTGCTGTGCAAGCGGGGATTGATCTTTGGACTTTGAAATACATGAAGAGATATAATAAGCCCGGCAAAGGAGGAGCAGTTATCTATGGCACTTATCAAGCATATCTCAAAGCCTGTCCCCAAGTCGTCGCAAACCACATGGCCATTGCGCAAAAGGAAAACTTCACCCTCGGAGTCAAATTAGTTCGAGGCGCGTACATGGGATCGGATCCTCGCGAATTAATCCACGATACCAAACGCGAAACAGATGAATGTTATGATGGCATTGCCGAGGCATTGATTCGTCAAACTCCCAATGCGATTCTGAAACCGGAAAATGGAGCGGGAAAAACATTCCAAGCTGTGGATTTGGCGCTCGCAGGTCACAATTTGGAATCGGTTAGAAAGGCACAGGCGATTCGTACCGAACAGGCTGAGAAGGGCGAAGAGCGAATCGAATTATGCTATGCACAATTGCAAGGTATGGCAGATGAAGTATCCTGCGAACTTGTCGCGGAGGGAAAATTAGCCGAATCGATGAATTCTTCACATGCTCAGGATTCAAAAGTTACAGTTCATGGAGGAATCAATGAATTGATTGGCGGAACTAAGGGGGGAAAAGATCAATCGCATCTGAAAACGGATATTCCAAAGGCTTATAAGTATTTGACTTGGGGAACTACTGGGGAGTGTATGAAATATCTTTTGAGGAGAGCCTATGAAAATCGAGATGCGGTGGGGAGAACGAGAGAGGGAAGAAATGAAATGGGTAGGGAATTGGTGAGGAGAGTTAAGGGGGTTTTTGGTGCGTGATGAGATGAGATGAAATGAGATGATGAAATGAGATGATACGGATTAAGGTCTTTTGATATATTGCATTGCATAGCGATGGATGAATGGGGTTGGATTGGGTTGTTTTGTTTTGTTTTGTTTTTTGGGCTGAATCGCATTTTTACATCTTTGCATTTTTACATCTTGATATCTTGTATGCGAGCGAGCTTTTTATGATAGCTACATATATACCATACCATACCATACCTAGTTTGTACGTATGTACCTAGGTAGGTAGGTAGATAGGTACTAGGTAGTTAGGTGAGTTAAATAAGCGAATACCAATACTTTTTCGATTACCTAGATACCCGACTCTTTTGATTTTGATTTTATTACTCGACTTTCTTCCTTTCTTCTTCTATCTATCTACATCCATATCAGAGTAGATATCCGTAGATATTTTAATCAAAGCTATTTATTTATTTATTTATTTATTCCTCATGGGGGCAAGCCCCCAAACCCCCTTTTGCTCGCTGCGCTCGAATTTAGGGCTTTGGATTTTAGATTTTGGATTGATGAGGAGGATTAAGTTGTGTTTTTATCTACTTTATTTTACTTCGTTGATGTATTGATTCATTATCACTACTAATTTGTATTTATATGATACAACTTCCCACCAATCCCAAATACTATTAATCCTACTACCCACCCTACGCATTCGCCCTCCCCAACCCTCTTTATACCTCTTCAAACACCTCTCCCTACTAACCTTATGTTCCACAATCCTCTCCGGATATCCCATTTTCCTCGCCGTCTTCGCCGCCTCTTTATCTCCATACGGTTCATGAATCGCCTTTCCCTTGACCCCCCTCAGCTCCTCGACCCATTTGCGGATATACTCACCCTCTGCATCGAATTTTTCACTCTGTAGCAGCGGATTAAAGATTCTGAAATACGGCTGCGGATCTACCCCCGTACTAGCGCAGAATCCCCATCCCCCGTTATTACTCGCAAAATCGCCATCAATCAGATGTTCCATGAAATATCTCTCGCCCATTCTCCAATCGAGGAGGAGATGTTTCGCGAGAAAAGAACCCACGATCATCCGACTGCGATTGTGCATGTAGCCGCAGTGATTCAGTTGGCGCATGGCGGCGTCGACGATCGGATATCCGGTTTTGCCTTCCGTCCAGGCTTTGAAGTGGCTGCCGTTGTATTCCCATTCGATGTTGGTGTATTCGGGCTTGAAGGGTTTGTTCATGCAGACGTAGGGCCAGTGGACTAAAACGTGCTTGTAGAAATCTCGCCACGCGACTTCGGAGATCCAGGTTTGGATTCCTTGGTACCCGGCATTTAGTTTCTTGGTGTTGTTGTGATCGCGCGCGGTGCGGATGGCGGTTCGGGAAGATAGGGTTCCGGATGCGAAATGTACTGAGAGGGAAGAGGTAGAGTTTAGGGAGGGAAAGTTTCGATGGTCTCCATATTTATTTATTTTTTCATCCGCGAACTTCGAGAGTCGTTCGTGGGCTGCATGTTCACCTGCTGGCCACATGGATCGGAATCGTTCCTTTTCTTCTGCTGTCAAAGATTTATTCTTTGGTGCATCTGGAATTTCCGTTTCGAATAACTTTGCAAAAGTTCCGCGCGCACTGGAAGGATTTTTTTCCGGGGCATCGAAAAGCTCGAGAAGATCCGAATTCTCATGAACATGCGCCACCCATGATTTGAACCAAGGAGTATAAACCGCATATTGTTTTCCCTGTCCACTCTTCAATTCTCCCGGACGAACCACACACGTATCATGTATCACATCCATACAGATACCCTTTTCCACGCAAGCTCTCACCATCCTAGCTTCTCGTCTCAACTCATCGACTTCATATTCCATATTCGCATAGAGATGCGAACATCCCCATTCCCCCAATAATTCCAGAATCCTGCCTTCGACCTTCTTTCTCTTTTCAATCGTCTCAACATAAAGCGGGATATCCAATTTCGCCAGATCCTTCTTCAAAATCTCCAACGTCCTCAAAATAAAATCCACTCGTACCGGCGCCGTTAAATGTGCCTCGAAATCCTCAGGACTAACAATATACATTGCCACAAGAGGAACCCCCAACTTTTTCGCCTTTTGACTTGCCATCCACAATGCCGTATTGTCCTTCGTCCTCAAATCACACTTGAACCAATGAACCACACATTCCCGTCCTTTATCAATTCCCTTCCTCTCCTTTTCCGTTTCCGCAAGCGCAGTGTGTAAAGCCTCAATTGGTCTCTCCAATTCGTTATTATTATATGCGATGGCGCGCGGATTACACATTTCATGGGGATAGTATTTCCTCAGCACAATGCCATTTTCTTCCGCCTCTTTTGCGCTGTGATGCGGTTGTCGGAGTTCAGATAAATCGTGGTCATCGTCGCTGACTTTTGCTTTCTTTTTGGAGCCATTCAGATGGGAGATGGGTTCTGGAGTGGCACTAGCTTTACGTTTGGCGGATGCTGCTGCCGTTGCTTTTCTGGTGGACATATTGAGGATTTGAGAGGTAGATATGCAGTTTCGATGCAGTGTTTGTGGTTTTGCGAGGAATTGAGAGAGGGAGAGAATAGTTTGTTGTGAAATGGTCAATCTTGATGGCGATTGCTTTAAAAATAAATTTCTCGCGGAAAGAGAAAACATCAAATTTTCTTTACTTATTTCAAAGTCGCCGCCAATGCATATAATACAGATATATCACTTCAACACAATAAAGAAAGAAAAATGGATTTTTCCGAACACGAGATTCAACGCGACCAGCGCGTGCTTTTTCGATCCAAGGTCAAAGACGTCACTATGCTGTCAATCGGGAGACAAAGGCTTGGCGACAGTAAGTAGATAAGCGATTGATTATCTTGAGCTAGCGTCGATCTAAATGCAGGGGAAGAGTTCGGTATTTGATAGAGGACAATTTTGGTCTTACTTTACGATATCTACTTGCGGATTAATTAGAAAAAACATATCCTCTTTTTTATTTACATGTAGATGATAAAAATGTCAAATAATATATCTAATACATTTACTCGATTTTTCGAACATATTAAGTACATAAATTATATTGCCTCGCTACTTTTCGGCTTTTTGAAGAAAACGTAGTGGATATATATAATTATAAAAAGGAGTGCTCTTTAGAACCGAATGTAAGGATATATAATGTTGTTAACCTAAACGAACATAGGTATTATGATGAATATTGAGGATAAAGTCGACTGCCTAGATTCAGTATCCTAAAGAGTAGTAGACATAAGCTAGGTTGAGAGAATAGAGATACATATAGCATCCAGCTCACGCCATCCAAAATCTATGGTTAATCTAGAAATTTATTCCAAATATTTAACTCCTTTCTAGGTCTCTCCCTCCCCCTCTCTCTCTACATATAAATACTACACAAATGTAATCCTTCTCCTTCCCTCCCACAATGTCCCCTCCTGTCTGTCCCCTTCCTCGCTCTCACACACATAGCCTATACAACATGAGCTCAATTCCCCTATAAAGTATCATCTAATCTACCATAAATCCTCAATCTTCTGTATCTCGAACAACAAACGAAAATCTATCACATCAACCCGTGAAATATACAACCTCCATACGAAATCTGTCTCCCTCCATATACACAACATACCTTAATCTGAACTCCTATTCCTCAATGTTTTCAGGCCATATTTTCATCACCATTACATATAATATCATAGAACTCTCAATAGCCCCATCACTCGCTCGCTTTACATTCATCATTCACCATCCATCAACCAAAACTACAAAGCCTCCCCAACCAGTGCATTCACTTTACTAGACCACTCCACAATCCATTAGAAGTCGAGGATATCGGAAAATTAAGAATAAGAGAAGTTGATATTTACTCATCTACTTACTCTCCGCTCGTCTACCCAGAAGTCCTCATCCCCATTACATGGCCAAGAAGCCCATATAACAATATGTTGGAGAAAATCCACGAAATATACAGTGTGTTCTGAAATTTAATCTTATTGCACTTCCTCCTCTATTAGACTTCCAGATACCGCGTTTCTATACATCAAAACCCAAGCCTGTGGATCGTCGACATACAGAAATATATAAATCAGTTTGTATGTGTTTACATATATTTGTGGACGCGGGAATCTCTATCTGAGGTGTTCAAGACGCAGATGGTATCTCCTCGTGTATCTTTATGCAGTATGCATATGACAATTGATCTATATTGGATTTTATTGATCATAGCCCTTCAGTAAGGTTACCCAGGGGGTTTTAAGGGCAAGAAAGCGACAATTCTGGAATGTTACTACGTAACCTGTAGAAGAGCACAGCTAACTATCAATGATGCATCAGACATAAAAAGGTTGTTCATTTCTATCTCGATCCAAAGACGGCGAGGGAATGTATTATTGAATATGTTGATTCGCAAAATTATAAGTAAAGTGTCAAGTGTAGATTTTACTTTTATCTCCCGGTGCACCCTTCCACACGCGTCCCTTTCACATCTCTCATCGCGGGAAATACTCTCATTCCTCTCACAGATATCTCCCTCCCCATTCTGTTCTCTCTATCACAAGTATACCATCGAACATATCACTGAGAATTCATTGAGATATGAAACGGTTACAATGAGTATTCTAAAAGCAAAAGCCACATTACAAATAATTCTCAATATTTATTTCGGCTGCGTATTGTAAGAAGCAACATTTGATATATTCCACAAACCAAGCAGTCAAATAGGCGAGTCCGTCCCAAAAGTTTGACTGTTCCTTTTTTTTTGGCGACAATAAGATTTTGGAATTGGAATATTAAATGAAAATGTCGTGCCAACGTGTCTCGGCGGTGCATTCTAATGGTACTATGTTCTCCTTTCTCTCACGCGTTGAGATGGAAGAGAAAATGAGCAGATAACGTAGAATGTATTGAACATCAATGCTTATGTGTGCTGGGTAGGCGGATAATGCGGTCAAATGTGCACAGCATGACTAGACGATCCAGTTATGAGGGACAATTATGATATTATCCAAGGAAAACCGACAGATTTAATTGTCACTAGGAAGCACCTCAACTAGTAATTGGGTTCAGATTGTCTTATAATGGGAATCATAAATATTAGTAATGCTTCCACAAGAATCGAACTCCCTACAAATCAACTATGACAACTTTTGCAGATAGCTTGATCCCAACCAGAAGACACTCGTCATTCTATTGCATCAAGAATCGTGATAAAAGAGGCCTCCAAATAATATCCCTTCCAAAAAATGTCAGACCCGTATCTGTGCTCCAACGAGATGCTCTAACGTCACAGCTCATCAGAAGGCCAGTATAAATATCATTCTCCGGCTTGTCCTGCTAAATGGGTTAATGAAAACCATCAAAAAAGCAATCTGACTCCTCGAACAAGTGTGTCACTTTGAAGTGTGGTCCGAGAAGTTTCGAAAAGCCGGTATGGAACGCGAAAGGTGCTAAACGTTAAAAGAAATCTCCGTTCCACACACTATCATTATCACCGTCACCAAGAAAGAAAATAAATTTGTTGGATGTGGAATGTATCGTCGATTCGTAATCACAGATGTGAAGTGACTATTTCAGCATATGATAGCCATAAAGCTCATTCTTCCTTCACTTGATGTACGTCCTCTATTCCTTCAATCCCCATCCTTCCCAGGTATCCCAGCCAGAAAAATTGCCCAAATCTATTCAAAGCAATCAGTCCCGAATCCAAACAATTATAATATCGAAATCGTATCGAGTCGAGGGAAATCCTACCGAAAGAACCGAATAGTGCGAATTTATCTTTGGGATTGACCACTCCAGACGTTCTTCAACAAACCATCACGTTGAGCCAATCTGTTCAAAGAATCATCGGACTCTCCCATAGCTCTGATGAAACCGCAAAGAGCGTAAACTTGGTTCTCGCCGGTAGCGCGTCCGTTCTCGTCGACCTTTGCGATGGAGATTTGGACGGATCCGTGGTCCTTGGCCTTGATGATACGGTTGGTGGCGCTGCACTTACGTGGAACGTAACTGTATGAAGAATTAAAGATTAGAATCCATTTTCAAGACCTTCCCACGCAACAATTGTGAGCGCATATCGAAAATTGGTAAAAACGTAAAAGATCAACGAGTTCTCCCTTGTCGTTTTCCATTTTTGCGACTTGTTGGTTGGTGAGAAGAAGAAAGGTTTAGGGATTTCTTAAATTGGCGTTGATGTCGTCGAGATTGAATGAAATTGGAATTCGATCGTGGGGCTTGGAAAATGAGGGTTTATGGTAAGCGAGAGTTTTTTTGACTTGGTGCCATATATTCAAGGTTGTCATGGCTGATGTGATGTGGCTCATCAATTGTAGGCGGCTTGGAACAACTGACATGTGACTTGGCGCACTTTTCGAGTCAGGTTTCAAACCAGTGGCGTGAACTGCTTATTCGTATTCGTAAACAAAGATCGAGGTTCTGTAGAGTGAAGATTGCGCCCACCAACAAGTATCAATATTACGAATTGACGTATCAGTACACTTCCTTAGAGTTTCACATTATATCTATATGAAAGTTTCAATCAGCAGTTTTGCGCCTTCTACTTTTAGGACATCGCGCCTGGCGCAAAGTTCCTCCATGTAATAGTATCAATATGGCTACTACAGATGTCTTCATTATTTCCTCTTCGCCGCCGCGACAATCGGTATCTTACAATGCATCTTCACCACCTTTACCTTCTTTGGAGGAAATGATCAATCAAAAGAAAATCCCCAACCTTCAAAGAGGTAGTGGTGCTGCATCTATTCCCTTAGACGCGACAGCCACCTTCACGAGCGCGTCAGCTTTATTACGAAGAGGTTCCTCTGGATCTTTGCAAGGATTTGATACCGCTCGATCACTAGCGACGACGACGAAACATGTTGAAAATGAACAAAAGAAGACTGCGAAGCCCAAAGCTCCACGAAGACCCGCTGCGAAGAAGGAAGATGGGCCAATTGAGAAAGTGACAAAGGCACCCCGGAAGACTACAAAGAAGAAGGGTGAGGATGAATCAGAGGAAGTTGTGGAAGGAATTGTGGATAGAATAGAAGAGGGTACGAAGACGATTCCGGAAAAGAAACCACGAAAATCCAGAGCTAAGAAAGCGGGTGATCTTGGAGGAGTCGGAGAGGATGAGGGTATTACGGGTGCAATTGTGCCAGACGCCCCAAAGGCGGCATTGGAGAAGAAAGTGCGCAAACCGAGAGCTAAGAAAGCCGATGATATTACATGTGAGGGGGTGAAGGAGAAAGCTCCGCGCAAGCCCAGGGCGAAGAAAATCGATGTTGAAGCTGGAAGTGAATCCATACCAAAAGAGAAAGCAGTAAGGAAGCCGCGAGCTAAGAAATCGGACGCGGACACAACTGCACAACCTAAGATGCCTAAGGGTAGAGTGACTAAGACCACCAATGCCTCGAATCCGGACAAGATCGAAACTCCCAAAGCTGATAAAGTCAGCAAGCATTTTGCATCTATTCCTGTCGTCGAAGATATACTTGCAGAAGAAGGATTCGGTTTAGCTGAGGCGGTCAAGAGAAGAAAGAATTGGACCCCACCGAAATCGAATCAAGTTCTAGCTGAGTATGACGATAGTCCAGAAGCTGGCGGCTCGAGCTCCAATCAAGGATTTACAGAACTATTGGGAAGTTTTGGTTTCAGCAGTAGTGAGGCAAATTCTATTGAGAAGCGGATATCCTCAGGTGTATCTAATGGAGCTGCTGCAACAAGGAAACGGAAACTAATCGAGTTGGTTAATACCAATATTCCTACAGCAATTGGTACAAAAGCTGCAAAGGAAAAGGCTGTGAAGAAGAAGGCCAGAACTCTCACGGACCTTGCAACTTCTGCTTATGCAACAACAGAAGATGATGATACCATTAACAATGCGCCTGCGCCCTTGCTTCAATACTTCCCGAATGCAGCCTCTGGAGAAGTCACAGGTGATGGCTTCAAGATGCCCTCCAAACCAAGGTCAAAGAGTCCAGTAAAAGGATTATCGAAATCGAAAAAGGGCTCCGCAGAAGAACCAATTCTTCTCTCCCCAGAATCTGCGCTTAAGCAAGTCGGTAACCAAGATTTTGTATTTGGAACTTCAAGTCAATTAGCAAGAGAGGATTCACCTTCGTTATTACGCGACCTGCATGATGCTATGCAAGCATCGAATGCATTAGATGATTATGACGATCCTTTTATTTCGCCGCCTACGAAAATAGCCGAAAGAGCGAAGGCTGTAATAGCTGCGAAGCGAAATCTTTGGTCCATCGCAGCGCGTGATGATCATGGGGATCTGATGGATATTGAGACGGTAGACTTGGCACAAACGCCTGTTGCAAAGCCGGACAGAATAATACTTTCTCAAAAACCTTCATCGTCATGGATCACTCCTGCTAAGAACGAGTGGTTCGATATTGATGAAATTGAAGATAATCGACCACCTTCCACTCAAGTTCCAGTGAGACAAATGGGACCGATTGAGATGGCCATCAGTTTGGAACTGTCGAACAGCCCTCTTCAACCTAAGAATTCTTCCAAGGATGTCTCTACTTCTTCTACACAAAAGAAAAATCCCAAGACTTCCGTCACCAAAATTACTCCTAAGAAAACTACAACCGCTAAGATGCCTGACTATGAATCTTTTACTACGCCACAACTATCCAGAGAAATTCAGAAATATAAGTTCAAACAAATCAAAAGTCGTAAAAAGATGATTGATTTATTGGTTCAGTGTTTTGAGAGTCAGAACCGTCCGGCCTTAGGTGTCCTGCAGGGTAACATACCAATCACGTCTCAAGGGCCATCGGAAATCTCTAAAGCTGTAGCCAGCTCATCCACACAAGTCGAATCCAGCATTTCTTCTTCTCAAAGAGGTCGTAGACAGTCTACCAAAGATACTACCACTATCAAGTCGAAGGCGAAGTCGAAAATTACAGATTCAGTAGCAATTTCGGAAATGGACAATGATATCCTTCTCTCCGAGCTTCGTACACCCAAAAAGCCGAAGAAGGGAAAACAACCCATCGAAGATGTCTCTGATTCTGATCACCCTATGACACCTTCACCGCCACGAAGATCTCCATCTCAGATTCGGAAAGCTTCCAAAGCTCTAAAATTATCTCCTGTTAAAAACGATCAAGATGATGAGGCTCAACAAGCACAACTTTTCACTCATATTTATACTGCCATCACCAGTGCGCCACCATCACAAGATCCCTCAAATCCAAGCTGGCATGAGAAAATACTGCTTTACGATCCTATTGTGCTGGAAGATTTGGCATCATGGCTGAATACGGGAGCGTTGGGTAAAGTTGGTTGGGATGGGGAGGTGGCTCCGAAAGAGGTTAAGAGATGGTGTGAAAGCAAGAGTATTTGTTGTTTATGGAAGGAAAATCAGGGGGGTGGGGCGAGGAGTAGATATTGATTATGGATATGAAGTTGTTGTGACTTGGTCAGTTGCCTTTTGCTGTTTAATGTTTAGATACCCTGTTTTGTATACATATCGTTATGAGCTCATGGATTTGCTGGATATGCAAGTGCGCTCGTCTACTTTGGTGAAGGATAAAGAAAACACAATATTTTTTCCATCTCATTTCACCTTTCTGGGGTGCTCATGTACCTTGCGAACATTGATGGACTTAGTAGCATCGACATATTCGGCATTTCAAGTCGGTGGAAGAATACCAAGGTCTCAGAAAAGAATCAGAATAGCTTTCAGTGTTGCAGTTAAATTCAAACTTTGCTAGCGCCAAAAGTTTATAATGTGGTCCAAACATCTCCGGAGGAGAACCTGGGGTTTCGCAAAACCCCTTCGCCTGAAGAACCCTTGTCAAAACAGGAGCTTATTGGGAATCTCACACATCAACTGTCTCTAAAATTCTTGCCAGTGTAACATTCTATTTCCATTTCACCCTAACTCTTAATTTCATCGCCAAGGTGATGCGAGCGGTTTTCTATGAGATAAATTTCACTGGAGCATTTCATGCTCGCTTGGCCAAAGCAGTCCGATGTCTCGGATGAATTTGCCTTGATAGTTCGTCTGATTGTTTTCATCTGTTAGTAAGATAAGATGAAGTAATGTGATAATGCAATTATTTTATTATAAGTTCACTTCATTCTTTCACTATGTTTTCCATCTCATTCATTGTTCTATTCTTACTATTCATACATTCTTTTCAGCTGTGCTGTAGACTGTTCCGTTTCTAAATTCTATTGATTTTACCTTTACATATATACCGATATCTATATACATAGAACTTCTTTGAGGCCAGCCTTCAATATTTAATAAATACTAAAAATGCAATTTTCCAACCTCGCAATTCTTTTCTCGCTCTCAGTAGCAACTCTCGCAGCACCAATCGATACAGTCAAACGTGCTACCACAAAAGCCACAAGTGCTAGTGTTCTCACTGCGGGAGACTACAGCGCCTTCCAAGTTTCTGACGGAGTAGCTGGAGATGCTCTGGCGGAAGTCAATGCCAAATTTCCTGTACGCACTCTCTCCATAACTTTCCTTTGTCTATTCCCGTCTTCAGAAAGTCTCAGCTCCTAACAAACCCCTAGATTGATGCCTCAAACTTCGCCGGTGTCTCCGCTGCTGATCTAGCTATAATAACCAAAGCTGCTCAGATTTCCGAGAATGCTGAAGTAGGTACCGGTGGTTTTAACGATGCTATTGATGCTGCAGGTGGAACGAGCTCTACCGCTGGTGCTGCGTTGCAAGTTGGGAAAATCAAGAACAAGGTCTTGAAGTTACAGACAGATGTGTTGAGGATTCAGATACAGACTGCACAGGGAAATGCTGGGAGTGAGTTGCTCCCTCTTCGTGTCTTTTGGGGTAGAGGATAAGGTTGAAAGATGATGCTAACGAAGAATCAGGCTCGAGTGAACTTGCAACACAGCAAAAGAAGCTGGCGACGAATGTTGCGTTAGATGTCGCGCAAGCGGGGAAAACTAGCAAGAGTATTAGTTTCTCGGGGACAGATTAATTTTAGGGTGTGTGGAGGGTAATATTGGAAATGTAAGTGTCTGTTGAATAAGTGTGGTATGCGATTTCAAAGAACTCAAAAAATGAATAATATTGAAGCACTGAATCATTCGTCTTTGCTCCATAGCATAAAAATTTTTTTATTCTCAAATCACTCAAGCCATTTCGACTTTCAATTACTTTCAAAGCCTAGACCAGTCATAATTAAAGACCGTCAGGGTGACATTGAATATATGTGAGATTTTATTGAGATGTATCGATACCAATATTGATTCAAAAGATGACTACTTAACACAACTCGATAGACAGCACACTACTCATATTCATAGAGTAACCCATCACCAAAACTCACAGTTCCTACTGAGTTCGCGATAATGTGGTTCAAACTTCCATCTTCGAATCTTCAATCGCCTATTTTCATAATCGCTTGCCTCCCATTCATCGCCAGTCTTCTTTAGAACATAAATTCCTTTCCTCTCCACTAAGCCGGTAGTTCCTAGCGCGGTAGGTAGACTTGAGTGCACATTTCTGGAGGAAGATACGGTTCATATCCTCATTGGACGTGTATTTAAACTTCAGATCAAGCTCGAACGTGGCCCCAAAGCGCAATCTATTTGCTTTTATCAGCTGCTCAATATGGGGCACCCTGGAAGACCAATGTTCACAAATCGTGATAAGCCCCAGCCCTGCAAGCTTGCCCCAGGTATACGAATAAACTTCTCTGGCAGAATCGATTGTCCCAAAGCTGATGTTCTGAATAGAGTTCGCTTGCTGCAAAGATACATGACTGACAAATTTTGTCGCAACAGAGTCATTTTTGAATCCAAAGGTGTTGCAACTCCAGCCAGACTGACTGATGTGTTTGGTTTCATGGTAAAACTGTCGGCTCACCAGCCAAAGACGGGTGACAGGATATTGCTGTTGGTAAAAAATGCCACCTTTGATCCACTGCTTATAGCGGATGTGATTTTGCTGTCGCCAGCGGCATTCGTGGGGTTGATAATTTACCATGACGTACTGAGGAATAGGTGCGAGTAAATTGTGAATCTGATTGCGTACTTCTGGTGGGAGGGGGAAAAATGCAAACCATTTGTCATCCCGTTGCAAACTATTCTAGCATCAGTTGCTAATCTTCACAGAAGTGGAGTGACTCCATACAGTCTCTGCGGGGCAGAAGCCGGTCCTATTTGAATTTTTGGATGTTTGGAATCATCTTCCTCAGTCATAAGATCCCTCTCTACGCCCCAAGATGGAGGTGGCCTTTGTCTTCCCGCGTATAAAAATATTGGAAATGGTAAGGATCGAAGAACCTTTTTCGACTTCAACTCTGTCCATCTCGTCTCTCCAACACGCTGTCTGGGTAGGTTTGTACGACTAGACGACACCTTGAACTCTCTCATCTTTGCGAGTTCGACTTGTATAACGCACAACAATTTGATTAAAGCTGCGTTTCGGTGGGCAAAGTAGTTCTGATAGATATCAATCAATCTAAGCTGCACAAATATATGAAGAATGAAGTTATCTGGCTCAAATATCACTATCCAATATGATACTGAAAAATTGACAATAATTGGATGGAAGTAAGGAGTGATTAGCAATGGAGGTAGATTGACTTCGTTATAGCGCGCCTCTGTAGCATCAACAAACGAGTTTGCTTCTTCGTTTGAAATGAATTGGACACAGAGGCGAAGAGCACTTTATTGGACGTGCTGAGAGGTTACACAACTCATACCCTTGGCACGTGATGACCAGGCTGCAACATGTAGCATGCCGAAAAGCAAACGCATTTCCGTTTCAAACATCTTTTCAATCCTCATCTCTTTCAACTTTCAACTAGAGTTACTTCTTTATCAGACGGGTAATGAAGCAGCTGCAAATCTATTGTTGGACAAATCATTCTAGGCAATATTTCGGTTAGCATCTTTTACGCTGCTACTTTCGCGAAGTCAAGCTTACTAGGTAGGTCGAGAGTGTTTGTTGTTTCGTTTTCGACGCAAAATCCCCTAAGAACCTACATCTAATGTTAACAGCTTACTGTAACGATACGATCATTACCACACTGATCTCGATGATATCCATTTGCAATCATGAAAACTAGTCCCGCAGAACCACCCAATCAACGGGTCAGAGAGAAAAGTTATACAGATCTAGCATCAAATGCCGTTTTCTTGTCCTATCATTCATATCTATCTGCAATCAGAAGCACTAGTCCCACAGAAGTACCCAGTCAAAGGATTGGAGAAACAAGATGTACAGATTTAGCATCAGGAAAAGTATTCACAGTTCTACCACCAGGCTTGACAGCCACTGGAAGAGTGAGTCAGCGGCGAGAATGGTTATTGTTGGGTACATTTACTCGAGAAGCTGATGGAGAGGATGAACGGTTTGGTAAAAGAGAGCTAAAGCGAAAACGGGGGCGGGGCCAAGGGCGAAAAGCTGGCCTTCCTATGGAACTCAAACCAGTGTAAGGAATAAATGCCTTTTGCTTTGGTATTACTTACTGATGGGAGAATATAATAGCATACAAAACAATCAAACGTTCTCGCCCTTCCTAAGTTTACCGCCTCAGATTCGAACTTAAATCTATGACCTACTATCTCCTCCCTCCCAAGTCATCGAGGTACTCTATCACCACTTTCAACGTGATGTTGAAGTACGTAATGGCATACGTTACAGAACGTACACCAAAGGAGGTCTGGCCTACTACAAGAATCTACCAGTGACGTGTCTTTGGCGAGTATGTCGACAGATATACCAAGAGAAAACATATAATATGTACGACCGAAATACTTTCGTATTTCATGATATGGATACCTTGCAAAGGGTGTTAACCACCCTATCATTGACTCAGAGGAATAACATCAAACGTGTTTGCTTAAAGTCTTTTTCCAACATTCAGGACATGTCTGAGATTTTGTTGAAAAGATTTCATGGGCTTGAGACTATAGTCGCCTTAGTGGGGAGTGATTTTACTTGGCCAGCCGATATGAATCCAGTGTTTAGCTTGCTTGAGGCGCAGGAACAGCGGAGTCTGAAGGGAAAGAAAAGGGTAATTATTGAATATCAGCCGATCACTCAAATTAAGAATCACTCAGCAGTCGACTACTATCCCTACACTTCGATAGATTGACGCAACGTCGCGTTCAGGAGAGCGATGGGTCCAGGCAAGACCGACGACAATCATGGGTTACGGGGAGCTAAAACACTTTGACATGTGCAATCTGGAGATTCAAAAGCTGGAAAGAAGTTTACAGGCACAACATGGACCATATCAACCTCTCAGCTAACTGGTGAGGTTCTCGGGAGATAGGATGTTTACTTTCACAACACTGGTATTAAGATACCTCCACATGGTTCTGTTTCACTACAAAAGCGTTTTTACTACTTGCCCAAATATTAGGTATCTTTGAACTTGCGAATATCTTATGCTTTACCTATTGGATTCTTATCCAAGCTTCTTGCGTTGAATATAAACAGTGATGACCAGACCAGTATCTTCGACGGCGATCGCCATCCCTAGACACCTTGGTACCTTTAACCATCAAGGTATTCGCAGTGCTTGCAGAGTTTTCACGCACAACTTTTTAACGTCTGATATACAAGTGAATTTCTTGAAAGGAAAAAACTTACACATGAGAGACTAGAAAGTGAAGCGGCGATGCAGCGACAGCATCGCTCACTCTACAAAGCTTGGCAGCCAATCATATAATCAGTCTCAATCATTAATGTGTGCATGCAAAGACTTTTTCGCATGGAATATCAAAGTATGAAATATAGGTGTGAAAACCCACACCATATGAGCGAGTACCTCGTGATGCTTGAAGGAGGGATGACGGTAACAAGATAACGATCGTTCAATGCCGAAATCATTCAAGCCAATCAAGGAATTAACTCGAGGGATTCTAAAGTGCGTGCAGAGACTTCTACCTTGAGGGTCTTGAATGTAACAAAGAGATCGTGGCATCGAAGTAAATATACGGGAAACCCCGCTCACGGGAGGTTGGGAAATGAGATAACGACGACGACGATGATAGATTCAAATTTTTTTAACGAGTTTTCAAGCCAATGAGATAATTTTGATAACTTTGAAAGAATTGTGTGCGAGAAATTTTTCACCCTCAAGAAGTTGCTGGACGATCCATTGCGCCATTGAAGTGAATATCGCCGGCGACTCAGAGGGCTCAAATCAAGGAAGACTCAACGATCCCTCTGCTATCACTGGCTAGAAACCATGGATAAGTGAATTTGTATCTCAACAGAACGGGAAAGAACTTAATAGTCTACTACGATTGTCCATTCGAGCAGGAATGAAGTGTCTATTTAAGAGACTGGTCTCCCCGATTTTTCAATCTTTCTTCTTCTTCCTTACACAACAAACCAACCTCCCAGTCAATTGGGAAGTTGTAGTTACACACATCCCATTCTATTCTTGGTAAGTTTCTCCTTTCTTCCAATCATTCCACAATGCTTTACCTTGTTCAAGACGATTACTCTCTTATGATACTCCACCTTCTTCAGAAAAGCTCACACGCTAATTGTTCATCACCATCACAGATATCTCCAGGGCTGTTACGCAAACATCAAAATGTCTGACGACGAATTTGAACAGGTAAGATCATCTTCCCTACTACCTGTCAATCATTCCCCATATGCCATCCCCATCAGTCCATGATCTCGGGTCATGGAGCGTCTAAAACTGGAGGCGGTCACAGCTGCTTCCTTCCTACCTCTTTCTGGTCCATCTCTCTCTTCTACCTCGATTCTCAGGAATTAGGGACTTGGTTGGTGGTGTAGCCAGGCATGTTCGTCCTCTAGATACCCATTGTGGTTGGGTCTAAACCAGCGGTCCCGTGTTTGGGGGGGACTTCCTTGGCCAACGCAGACTGTAGTCAGTTACACATGATTGGGGATAACTATCAGATTATGAGAACTAGTGATATTCGCTCGGCGGAAACGTCATATAGCGATCTGGCCCGACACTCGAGCTGTGAATCTCGAGTGGTAGCTTCACATCTTCAAGGTGCGCTTTTACGGGGTACCGGTGCACCTCAACTCTCCGTGTTCTATTGAAATGATGACTTGGCCACGTACAGTTGGTTGACAGGATGGTGATCTTACTCAGCCATGGCACTTCGGCTGACGTTTATTTCTTACTTTAGTTTCATCGAAATTTGAGGCCTCCCCGAGGCAATCGTCGGCTTGACGCTGAGGTCGACGACTCTGCAGCGGCTTCCGTGTAAGTTTGACTGCATCAACATCATACTTGCTACTGTATCACTAACACAATCTTAGGGCTCCCGATGAATTGTCCGTCGATGTCGTCACTGCACATGCTTCTATGGTAAATGTAGAGGCTGCGGCCGAGAAAAATGTTTTCAGGTCAAAGGTTCACAGCGTACGTATGCTTCCACGTCTTATCACACTTTCCTGCAGCTTGAACTGGTACGGTCAACATGAGATTTCAATGTGTGAAAACCACTCTATTCAAAATTGGTTTTCTGAAATCCTTGTTTTGTAGTGCCAACACCTTGCAGTAATGCTTTTTGACTTATTCTACCTCTCTGTCAAAAGAATCTTCCTCATGTTATGTTCCGATGTCGCTTCAATGTCTCTCTGTTTGATTCTTTTGACATAGATCCAGATCGTCTCTTGTATTCTCGTGGACTTCCTAGTCTACCGCGGAACAGTCATTGTAGATCATTTCACTGCGCAAGACAATATAATATGGCTGTCCTTGGGGCTATTTGGTTTGGGGTGTTTGTGTTGCTTATGTTGATGATGTGGTATCTATTTTGATGATATTTCCAACCGCATATTCTTCCTACCGTAGATAGGGTGGTCCAATGAATGAGATTGTAACTTCGGAATTCACATCGTATCATGCAATCTGCACTTGAAATATTTATCATACGAGTTGTGATTACTGTAACTTTGCAGTCCAGCCTTCATGCGCCCTAGAACTTTGGGGTTGTACACAGTGCTCGCATATTATGACATAGATAGCGTGGTTCAGTAAATGGAATTGTAACTTCTGAACTTCATATCATACTTTATAACCTCCGCTCGAGATATTTATCATGATGCACCGTGTTTACTGTACTATTGCAGTCTGGTCTTGAAGCGCCCAAGGAATTCGGAATTCCGCACCATACTTGTAAAGACTACGTTACCCCTCAGACTTCTACACCAGGGTAATGATCATTTCACTTACGAGTAAACAACGAGCCACAATCCATGGTAAAGTAAATTAACTATCAAAAAGTAATATCTAATCTATCATCTCATATCGAATCCACAATTCAGAGAGTAGCACAGAAGAAGCAACTCGCACCACCTCTAATCAGCAGTTCCACTCTTACCACTGGCATTTCTGCTCGCCGTCTCCTTCTCCACAAGCTTCAATGGTCTGTATACTGGATCCCACATTTGTTCTCTAATCCACTCTTCTAAATCTCCATCTTCAGTTGGAATACCCTTTTCCTGTGCCAGACCTTCCTCTACCGAAGTTTTGATTACTTCTTTAGCAATACGAACGCTGATTTCGCGAACATCAGCGACATCAGGTAATAATCCCTTATCCGGATTCTTCAATGCCGGACTCTGAGCAGCTAGCGCTTTGACGGCTGAGACTAGCATTTTGTCACTCAATAATCTTGTGCGGGAGAGAACGCATCCGAGACCGATGCCGGGGAAACAGGTCGAGTTATTGCATTCTGCGACTTCGTATTCGTGGCCTTCGTACTTAACGGGTGGGAAAGGTGAGCCGGTGGCTATTAAAGCTTTGCCTTTGGTCCATTCGTTGATGTCTTTTGGATCGGCTTCGTGGAGACGGGTAGGATTACTGAGGGGGAAGACGATAGGTCGGTCGATGTGGGAGGCCATTTCTTGGATGATTTCTTTGGTGAAAGATTTGGGTTTTGTGGAGGTACCAATCAAGACGTGTGGTTTGACTTCTTTGATGACTTGGAGAAGATCACCGTGGTCTTTGTCTTTCCAATCGGAATCTTCACGTGCGTACGGGATTTGTGCATGAGTAAGTTTGTCACCGTGGGATTTTAGCAGGAGACCGGGCTTATCTACACAGTAGATTTGTTTGGCGGCTTCTTCCTTGGACTTTCCACTATCTGCTGCAATGGCATCGCGAATTTGATCTGCAATTCCGGTTCCAGCTGTTCCAGAACCGAAGATCACAATTCGTGTGTCTTCGATCTTGACTTTGCTCACGTGAAGACCGGCCATCATGGCTGCCAAGGTGACACATCCAGTTCCTTGGACATCATCATTGAAGCAGGCCATCTCGGGACGATATCGGTCGAGGATTCTTCGAGCTATAAGTTTGTTAGTATATTATGCTGCAGTGAGAGGGATCTATCTTACCATTTGGAAGTCCGAAATCTTCGAAATGGATATATGCATTGGGATAAAGTTTTCTGGCATTTTGAACAAATTTGTCAACAAAATCGTCATATTCCTTGCCCCTCACTCTAGGTTTCTTCAAACCAAGGTATAGATCGTCGTTGAGAAGTTTCTCGTTGTCGGTTCCACAATCCAAGACAACTGGGAGTGTACGATTTGGATGGA